CGCGAATATTAATGTCGAGAGCCCGCCAAAAATATTATTACACGGTGACTTTGTTATGGGGATTTGCAGACAAAAGCAACGCTACAAGGACATCCTTCAGGTGCCTACAGATCAACCCTGAGACCTAGGAAGGCCTCGCTCACTGCCGTGAAGACCGGGACAGAAATATTCAGAGTCAATCGAATATACGTGGCTAAGGTGGAGAGGGAGGGAGAGGCTTACGAGACTACTACGTCGCAAACCAATGAGAAGCACACCTAGCTCTTGACATCCTGCCTACATTGCCAACGGACATTCGCAGCATGGAATGGCCTCGGTTGGACATTGTCAGACTTAATGCAATGCCAACACGACTACCCAACATTTTAACTTACACCATCAGCATTGTTGGTAAATAGGTGCTTGTCATTGTGCTCTCCATCACCAATCCACCGGTCTGACATCGCTTTGAGACCGGCGAATCAGTGTCTGGAGGCCTAGTACATATGCGGCACTCGTGTCTCACCTGCCCACACTGTCCCAGAGCATTCGGTAATTTGTACATCCAATTAACTCTTCAGCCAAACTAAACTTCAGCCCGGACCCCACTGCAACACTTTGCCCAACCTGCACACACACACAAGCACCCCTAAGCTACACACGAACCCACTCTTCAACATTTGCATACGAGGCATCTACCAACAATAAATCGCACACTATCCCAGCGGCACGCATACAACTCAATTTGCCATCACCGGTACGGCGTCCTGTTGCCCGATTCGGCCAGCGAAAACTCCTACGCGACTGAGTGAACTTTTAGATGTCGATCGAAGGGACACCTGTAATGAAGCGGGACAGCTTAAAAATTAAAAATACCCATAGATTCCATGAGTAGTATGAAGAGGGCGGAGATCATACGACGAGTGCATAAATGTACGTTTTAGTAAGGTATTTAAAAGGAGCAGTTTAAGGACAAGTGGAACTCGAGTTTGAACGTTTTCACTAGAAGGACAAAGCACATTACTGCGGCTAATAAACGAAGCGTTTAAGGTAGATAAAAATATTAAAAAAATATGTATATATGGATGGAATGGAAACGGCAAAGACAAAAGAGACCGGAATGGCTATTTTTAGCTTATTAGCCGTCATCAACTAATCATACCCAATGCCAGGTGTAGATCATCCGGGATTCGAACTCCGTCACCTTTGGTCACACGGTACAACACTCTACCATTACACCATGGGCTCCGATTGCAATCGGGAATATGATGATAGAAGTGGGCCTACCGACCTGGTTAAGGAATAAGAACGTACCTTTGTGTCCTGGGGCTCACTATAGGGACATTCTGGTTCCTTAACCAGATCGGTGAGCCCCCTTCTATCATATATAGGGATATTTTTTTTACCTAACGGGTCATATTTGGGACCGAGCTCAGTGAGAACTGCCGAAGAGGTTTGTACAGGCAAGCTAGAGTGTTTGGGCCTGGGAATCGAAGTGTAATCAAACACATTATATATGAGCATTCAAAATTGTAGAGATAGTAATTTCTATTCCAAAGCATATTTATAAACTACGATAACGCAACCACTCTTAGGCCTGATAGAGGTTAAACTGGACCAGCAACTTTTAAGCATGAGAAAATCAGAACTAACCGGCAGTCGTCGACCCCGAGGTCGCACTAATATTTGGGAAGCGGTCTCAGGCTTGCAGTAGTCTTCGTCCAGTTCACGTAAATGTTCTTCGCTGCCCGGATAACCGTCAATAGAGCCAAGTGCATCTAAAAGAGCAGCAACCAGCCAGGCATCAGTTACGAGACGTATAGGCGTGCCAGGCGCGACGGTTAGGAGACGATACTTACCAGGATCCTTCCCGTATGCTGAAGGGTTCGAGGGGCAGGGGTAGTAATGTCCAGCGGGCATGTCAGAGTCTTCTGGCTTGAAGTTATAGGCATCAGGTGCCTGGTCATGTAAACCGGACTTCAGAAACCGCCTAAAGACGCAGAAGAAAATATAATAAACAGCAAGAAGGTGCGAAAATATACCTAGCACCTAGGCCGTCGGGAATAGTGACTCCAAAGTGTTCACTAGACGGGTTGACCTCTTCACCGCATAAGAAGTCAGAGAGAAGTACAGAAAGGAGCGTCCTAAACACGCGGTCAACGCGAGAAACTGTATAACCAGCGGCAGTGAGGTAGTCCTGCCAGTCGGCACTGTTGCCTTTTGCATTCCTGGGCAGTCAAAAGAGATGCATTGATAAATCAAGCTCTACTGCTCTACAACAGTAGCTTCTTAAATACAACTTCGGCCGCATACTACAAACGTATTCCGACTGGCATCAACTACACAGGACAATCCATTGCAAGCTTTCCTGCTTCTTTTTTATTGTTGTCAAAACAGCGCTCAGTGCACTCCTGCACGAGTCAAATAGGAGTGCATAAACTGCCTACC